CAACCGGGCAAAATGAGGTGGCTGCTGGGCGGGCCACATTACAAGGTCCGGCGGGCCGGATTCGGCCCGCGGGCCTTGTGTTTGCCACCCCTGCTCTAGAGCATTGAACTATAGATTGATTTGTGGGGGGTTGGCGATAATGAAAGACTTGCAACCCGGGCGCCTAATTTTTTACACAAATAGAGCTTTCTTTTGGTGCTATTTGATCGCCGCTGGGCTTTTTAAATTTATTTATTTTTTATATAAATGAAAAAAGACCACAAATAGTGGGAAAAAATTATATTTTCTACTTTTTGTTATACAAAATATCAAATAAAATCAAATTTCTTCCTAAAGTTAGGCCAAAATGTATTCTGCTAAATGTTTTCGGTAAAAAAAATTCCAATAAGTGTATACTAAGCGGTTTGTGTGAATTGGTAGTTTTTTTAAAACATAGTTTTTAGCCATATGGTGTCAAACGACAAAATCAGTATTGCTCAGGTAAAGGATTGGTTTAGGAATTATATGGCTGGTATACAGTATATTTTTTCAAACCTTGGTGTGTCCGCTAGATAGTCTTATAATTTGAGGTAACTGAACCACCCCAGTAAAAACAATTATCTACGGCCCTGCTGTATCATCTAACATATGGCCCAACTGCTGGCCTTAGGTGTTGGACATGTAAACACCATTTCCACGTCTCCTTGTGCATGTTATATGATTTTTCCCAATAATAAACATGAACGTTTCAATGCACTAAGCTTGTAGACTTCTTTTTCTTTCTGCTATTTTACACAAAGAAACTTGTGTTAACACAAGTAAAAAAAAAGTAAACATTCTGTGATATGACTTTCAAGTTATGTTGGTAATCATGGCTTGTCCTGCTCTCTCTGGCAGTTCAGATGGTATCCCAGGGGAGCTATGCAAGTAAATGGATTGCAGTATTCAACATGTGTTGAACATTGCAATCAATGTCCATGTTAATACAGACCAAGCAGAATGTTGTCTTTCTATAAAAAGGAACAGGTGTTGTCATTTAGAAAAGTAAGGAAAAGGAAAACCCATCTCATGTTATTTGAAAAAGTTAAAAAGGTGCCGAAATATCCAACTTCTGCTTGGTAGCTTATGAAGTATTATCTATCTTTACAGGAAAGTTGTGGATCTTCCAAAAAGAAGATTTGGGATTCCCATTGACAGGATTGGCATGAACCGCCTTGCTAATGCTAGAGGCTAAAGATTTCTGTTGTGAGTTTTTTAATTTACTTTGATACCGCAAATTGTTGTAATAGTCTGCAAATGATGAGTTGTTTTAAAACTATGGGGCCTATTTATAAACCATTTGCAGGACTGTTCACCTTGCATCCGTGTGGATATAAATGAATGTTCTTTAGTTTTTTTTATATAAAGCAATGTATTTCATTTTTTTTCATATAATGCATCATTATGGCCACTAAATGGCATTGAGGCACATTCAAAATAAATACTTACAGGGTTATTCACGAAAGGGTGAAGAGTTTGGAGAAGGCAGGAGAAGTTAACAATCTAGGCCAACATAGCTGATTTGGAAAAAGTCTCAGAATTCGGCTCACTTTCCAGTTTAGCTATGTTGTCCCAGATTGATCACTTCTCCTGCCTTCTCCGAAACTCTTCACTCTTCTGTGAATAACCCTGTTATTTTCTTTGCTTCTCTGCACCATCAAGTGACCACATGGAGTATTAATTTGGAGAAAACTCTTAAAAATATGTTTTAATTTATTTATTAATTACAGGTATTCATATAGCGCCAACAATTTACTCAGTGCTTTACATAGTTCACATTCCCATCTGTCCCTGCCCTCAAGGAGTTTACAGTCTAAGGTCCCTATCTCACATGCATACATACAAGGACAATTTGGACAGGAGCCAGTTAACCTTCCAACATGTCTTTACCTTGTAAAAACAAATAAAAAACAATGGTTTTGGCATATACCCACATAGATCGAACATTTACAGGTATTCACAGGGTGAATGGACCTGCAAATTTGTTATAAATAGGCGTCTATGTTTCCATAACGCAAACATTGTAAGAAATTATGCTTCACATATTGTGCCACTTCAACCTCTCACTTAGATGCATTCAAAAAATAACCTTCAGCCCCTTGTAAGCACTGGGGAAAGAGACTTGTAATGTGGATATGTACCAGTCTGCAATAGGTCAAGGTGGTAGGTGCAAGGGAACATGAGACAAATGTGCTTTTCATCACTGTCTAGCTGCTGGATAACAATGTTCAACTGCACCATTAAGTGGCCAGATATATGAAGCAAAAGGCAGTTATCATTAATTCGTTCTTAAAAACCTCAAAATTATGGTAGAAGCTCTCTCTATCTCTCTATTTACAGTTGGGATGGAGCCTGATGGAATGATGGGACGGCATATTTGCACATTGCCTGCATCATTACTTATGCTACCAATACATACAGTCAGTCCCTGAAGCCTGTTATCTCCTGACAAAGCATTTACTTATTCGGTACATGATAGTATTCCTGTCATAGACCCACACGGTTCAGAGGTCCGTGTCAGAGGGTTCGGTCCGTTCGTGACATCACAGTCGACTCCTCCCCCCGGCCGTAGCTACTCCTTAAAAGCACAGCTGAGCCACTCACTCGGCGTACTATCGTTCTGGATCGTCGAGCGAGTGACTCTCTGTACTGAAACAGAGACTGTATTACTGCACGAAGTAATAGCCTTGTTCCATTGCTGCCTCCCACCATTACCAAACGAACCTGTCCTAGGTCCATCCTGAAGCCGTACCAACAACTCATCTTGAATAGTGATACCATCCACAGTTGTTCCCTGCTGTCTACAGAGAGTTCAATCAAACGCAAGTAAAGGGATAATTCCCAGCTGTTACTACTACTCACTAAGCTGGTTGTGCTGTAGTGGGATTCAGGAGGGAGCTACACAGATTCAAACCTCCTGTCTCCTTTCATACACTACTAAAATTGAGTTGATGAACTGTGCAAGGAAACAAGTTGGTTATAATATGACTGTTGCACCAATTACTTAGAACCGTATTGCTGGATTGATGTATTGTGAGAGGTGTTTCACAACTGCTGGTTGCTCTCACTTCCATAAACTGCATTGCTGATTCATAGAACTGTGTCTAGAGAGATATCCTGTTCCAATCTCCCAAATTCACATGCGGGTTCACTTCATCCTATTAGTAGCCATTTCTCAAACCATTGCAACTACAGACAAACAAATTACGTATCAAGTAACCAATTGTATTGCTTATACTCCTACCCCAAATCCAATCTAGCTGTAGGAAGATCCTACTCACCGGTTACATATGCAGATCTACTTCCAACTCTTTACTGCTACTTCCTCCAACCCAAACTACAGAGACTGATAGCTCCAGATCCTGCTGCCTCCTATAGCATCAGGGTAATACATCTCCACCACATAGGAATAGGGGTATATGATGTGTAACGGTTCCCCTTGGTACTGAGTGCATTGGGGTTCCGCAAAACTGAGCCCAAACATTACACTTCACACACACTCCGCAGCTGAGATCCGCATTAGACATAACCGCCGACTGTTACAATTCCTGATAGTAGATATTAACTCGTTTGCTTAATTTATTTCTTTTTACACTATATGACATAACTCAAAGCCTGTCGACATTTTTTCGCTTTAGCCTTTCACAGATACAGCTGATTCACCATAAGATTGCTAGTTGTCAATAATCCTAATAATTACATTTACATAAGCAGTATTGTCTACCAACCGTGTAATGATTAGTCTTTGTATCGCATTAGCACGTCGAAGTGTAAACTATAGATGTGGAAAACCTGCACAGTTCAACTAAGAATTTGTTGGAAAATGGATTAGAAGAAGTTACCTCCAGAGAAAACTGATGTGGAAATGATCAGTAGATCAAAATATACAGACATCTGAAATTGAATGCATATCTCATGTTATCCTGTCATAGTCTGGTTGGCCAATGTCTTCTTACACCTTCTGCACCTCAATACTGGATCCCAATACAGAGGTTTAGGAGATGGAAGGGAGCAGGGCTAAGCTCAGCTTTTACAAGGAAATAGAGCTTCACAATATGAGGCTGATTTACTGATTCACAATAAATTATGTAAATATACACTTCCCAAAGCAAATTCCTGTTTACTTGCTGTTTATCTGCAAATAGCTGCATAATTGCAGTAAATATTCACACAATGTATTGTGTGAAGATTCTCAACTCCTTAAGGTGCCTGTGTCGGCATGCATTTGTCTGCTTTAAATGGGTTTTCCTGTACAAGTCTATGGGAACACAAAACCCTTTTGAAACAGGTCAAATGCAAGTCAGAAGGAGGTCTACTGCAGGTCAGATATACCTGTCAATGAATACTGAATGATCTCAGAAGCTTCTCAAAGTGATGTCAAATTGATGCCATTGACACAAGAACAAAGTCTGTCAACACAGATCCCATAGTAAATCAGCCCAAATGTATGCAGATTTATCTTTGGATGTACTGCTATATCTCTAGTGATTCTGTTTCTTTTTATATAAAAAAAAAAAGGGCATTATCACTGATATTCTATAAAGACTTTCCAAGAAGCACTTTAAAAGGTCTCAAAAGTTCATTTTGTCTTGGGAATAAATCCGCTTGCACTTGCCAACTGTTGGGATCAGTTTTATACTGAATATTGAATAGGGTGCCTCACATTTGTAATGACCATTTAATAAAACAATATTGTGTTCTGTCTTTCATTTTTCTGCAGGTATGTACACCCTGGATGATATATAAAACATCGCAGATGCCACAAAGACACTTCTGATATCTTACAGAACTCCAATTCCTGATTTCTGCTACAGTGATTAATGAATTGACCATCTATAAATCTATTTCACATCCACTGTCAAATCAATAATAGATTCAATCCATCAGGTTAGGACTTTAACAGCCAGGGTGTGTCTTGCTTAGGCCACAGGGTGTATGTGTAATACTGCACATCCTAGTGATCTGACAATTGCTGGGTTTCTGTTTAAATTCGATTTTCATGAAATTGTAGCATTTCATTTGTGACTCAAAATGTGTCCTGCATATAAAAGAATGCACTTTTTTGTTACGTACAGTATATTGTTTCCCAATCCCTACTAAACCAAACAGAACACCACACTCTCATTGAATATCCATTCTAGTCAATTTCTATCATGTAGCTTAGCATGCTATTTATTAAATCTAAAAGTACATGAAGTCATTGATATGTAAGTATAAAGTAGCAATTGCAACAGTTTAAACATTTACAAATGTATTTAATGAACATGAACATGCATAGAATCCTGCAAACGTTTAGGTACATATGTAAATGTTTAAAACTTGTATTCACATGTTTTGTCAGGTTATAGTTTGGCTCTAGCGAAAGCCAGATCCTATTTACACCTATAATTTGTAAAGTAAATCTGATTAATAGAACCAGATAGAGAGTAGTTGCAATTTTCTTTTTCCTAAAACATGTTTGTTATGACCTAATATAGCTATCTAGCTGTTTTGGAATTGAATGACCTATCATACCCTGCAAGTCAATGTAGTAATGCAATGAGGAGATAAAAAGGCCATTGCCCCTAAACTGCACATACACTCAGAGGAGGGGGCAAACTAGGCATTTACCTTGGGTGGCACTTTCCAGGGGGGCGCCCCCAAACCAGTGAGGCCGAGCCTCACCTGCCATTAAGAGAAAAAATTTAAAAAATACTATCCTTATCCTAATCCACCGACGAGCTCAGCCTCCTCTCTCTGACGCTGGCAGAAGTGATACAGCGCACGTCTGTTACTATTGAGACCCCATTCACACTGAGCGACATGCAAATCGCGCGACTTTGAGCGACGTCTTCCTATTGGGCTGTATGCAATCAGGAGCAATATCGCTCAAAATCGCTCTAAAAAAGGGTCATGTAGAAGCGACAAGCTACCAGCGACGAGCTACAAGCGATATTGAGCGATATTGAGCGACGAGATGTGAACAGCTACATTGAATTGTATTGGTGAAGCTACATAGAGCGATATAGTGCGGAAATATGAGCGATATCGCTACAAAAATCGCGCGATAAATCGCTCAATGTGAACGGGGCCTTAAACTGGCACTTGCTGTATCCCGCTTCTGACAGGACAAGCAAAATGTTCAGCGGGCTTCCCCGCTACGCTTATAGTGCAACCTGCCAGAAGCTGTATCCAGCAACTGACAGGTTACCAAAA